TGTCCAACAGAAAAAAATACATTTTCCAATTACAGGACAACAACAGATTAATATGTATAGAGTACAAAATCCCCAAGGGAAGCACCTTGTCGTGGTGGGGGGGGGGCTCAGTAGCCACTGTTGCCAGCAGTGGTGAAGCGAAGCTGTCCCAGGTGGTTTGTATTGTCTTCTTTGGTAGTTCTAGTCTTTTGTCCTTTGTTTCGTGTCAAAAAAAAAATTAGAAATCACAAAAAAAGGCCTTGGCCCGCTGGCAGTAGCGATAAAATGCAATTGTTGACGACACGCTATGAACAATTTCTCGAGCCCTTCGGGGCGCCCACATCTTACTGCTCAGGGGTTCGGATTGTCCCCAGAGCCGGCAGGGAGCGAGGCGGAGCGGGCAGGCCTCACCCGGTCGATATCAAGCGGCTGCTCGGCGTCCGTGGTAGGGAACCAGATCACGGCGCAAGTAAATGCTGCTGGAACGTTTGACGACCCACGCTATGTTTCTACTGGACACTCTAAAGGCTATGGCGGCACAATTACGATTGGCGCGGAGGTGGAGGATTTTCCTTCATTGCCGCGAAATATTGGTACCAGTGAGACGGAGGACTCTGTGCCCCGGTTCCTGGTACTTAAAAGGAAGGAAGGTGATTTTACAAACGTAAGTCCCTTCCTAATAAATAAGGCTTTGTATGGTCTATTGGGTGAAGTCAAAACTATTAAAAAAGTGAAAGGTGATATTCTCGTAGAAACCCGAACCAGTAAACAGTCTAAGCACTTTATGAAAACGACACGGTTAGGAGATTTCGAAGTTAAAGTAGAACCGCATACAGCTTTGAATACATCAAAAGGGGTTGTATATTGTAGGGATTTGTTAAATTGCTCCATTGAGGAGATAATAGAGAATTTACGAGACCAGGGTGTGATTGACATTAGGCGGATAAGGACGAAACGTGACGGAGAGTTTCACGACACTCCCAACCATGTTCTTACATTTAATTTTCCGCGTCTGCCAAAATCCATAATGGCTGCATTTTATCCGTTGCAAGTACGTCCCTACATACCGAACCCCTTAAGATGCTTTAATTGTCAACGTTTTGGACACTCCGCCACGAATTGCAAGCAGGAGAAGAGGTGCGTGTGTGGCAAAGCACCACACGAGGGTTCTCAGTGTGAAATTCCTGTCGAGTGCCCGAATTGTAATGGTCCTCATAAGGCAATCGCGAAATCCTGCAAAATTTACAAGCATGAGATGAAAATACAGGAAGTAAAGGTGCTGCACAAGTTGTCGTATCCTGAGGCGAAAAAGAAGGTTGATTCCTTTGTTGTTCCGAGTGTACCTTTCGCGCAGGTAACCGCTACGCCACTGTCAAATCAGTCCACCGTACCTGAAATCAGGAAAATAATACAGGAAGAAATGCAAAGCTTTATGAAAGTACTTACCACGAAAATTGAACGTTCTCAAACCATATCTGGAACAACTCAACTGAAACCAGCCTCGCAACTAAGCGAGACAGTTGCACTGTTGTCAGAGCCGTCTGAAGTTGAGCCCATGGACGCGGAAACGCGTGGTTCAAAACGTAGGACGTCAGTAACCAGAACGAGGTCCTCCAGCATTACCTCCGTCGATTCGGAGACGGTGCAGGAGGCCAAGCATCAAAAGAAAAAGAAGGGTTGGCCGAAGGGCAAGCCCCGCATTCCTCGAAAAACGGCGGGAAACCCGCAAATTTTTAGTAATTAGTCTGTGATTACACCTGTGATATACATATATGCTTTGTTTGTCTATCATTTGTTTATGTAAAAGTGTACATATATTTATTGTGAATGTCCTCATATACACCGTTATTTTATTGTTATTTATATTTATATGTTGCTTATTCAATTGTGATTGTCATTTAATGGATACAACAAAAATTGTCCAATGGAACTGTCGAGGACTCTCCAACAATTTAAATGAGCTGAAACTGCTAATTCAAAAGCATAATCCTTGGTGTATTGCTCTTCAAGAAACGCACCTGGTACCTAGAACAAAATACAGCATTAAAGGGTTTAATCTGATAAGAAAGGATTTTTACTCACCAGCAAGAGCCTGTGGAGGGGTGGCTTTCCTCATCCGACAAGGCATACCTTATAAACGGGTTAAACTAGATACGCCTTATCAAGCTGTAGCGGTACAACTTGAAATTAGCAGTTCTCTTACACTGTGTAATATTTACGTTCCCAATAATACTTATGATGTCCAAGAGATTGGTAAAATCGTAGATCAGCTTCCGGCACCTTTTATTCTAGTTGGGGATTTTAACTCTCACAGCACCGTTTGGGGCTCCCGCTCAGACGATGCTCGTGGCAGGGAGTTGTTAGATCTGATCGAGGATAAAAATTTAAGCTTGTTGAATGATGATTCAGCTACGTTCTTTAATGTGAGATCCGGTACTTTCGATTCCATCGATATATCGGTATGTTCACCGGCGATACATGCAAGCGTAAAATGGGAAGTGGAAAGTGATCTGCTTCATAGCGACCATTTTCCCATAATTATTACCTTGCAAGGCAGGAACACTCCTGTGAGAACGATAGCCAAATTTAAAATGCAACAAGCAAATTGGGAACTCTTCACACGGCTGCTCGTCCCGCCAAGCCAGGTAAATCTCCATACGCTAACCTCATCTATTTTAAATGCCGCCGAGGCCAGCATTCCAAGATCTAAACCTGGCAATATAAGGAAGATGGTTCCGTGGTGGTCACCTGAAATAAAAGAAAAAATTTTATTAAAGAAAAGAGCAATAAATAGGTTCCGTCGCCATCCTACAATGGAGAATTTAATCGAATTTAAAAAACGAAGATCCGAGTGTCGCCGGCGGATATTAGAGGCACAAAGAAACTCATGGCAAAGATACGTTTCCACCATCACACCGGAGACAACCATTGGCGAAGTCTGGAAGAAGGTAGGAGCAATATCCGGTAAAATCGGTTGCGCTTATCCCAGATTTCTGCGTAACTCAGATGGGGTAGTTACCAACAACCTGCAGGAAATAAGTAACATTATTGCGGATCAATTCTATAAAGTTAGCAGTTCACTCAATTATCCTCGTACTTTTCTAGAGGCTAAAATCGAGAAAGAATTGACACCTATAAACTTTGATACCGATGAAACTCTAGATGATAACCTACCTTTTAACCTAGAAGATCTAGATGAAGCAATCCGTAACACCAAGTCATGTTCACCGGGAGGAGATGGTATCCATAACCAGATGCTTCGTCACTGTAGTGCTGAAATGAAAGAGATCATCTTAAAATTCTTTAATACCTGCTGGATCGAATCAACTTACCCTTCTGAATGGAAACAGGCAGTTGTAGTCCCTATACCGAAGCCGGGAAAAGACCCGCTGTTAGCACAACACTACCGTCCAATAAGTTTGACCTCTTGTCTAGGCAAACTGTTGGAAAAGATGGTAAACGGGAGGTTGCAAACGTTCCTCGAACGTAACAATATATACGTCCCATATCAAACCGGTTTTCGGAAGGGACGATCAACTATTGACCATCTGGTCAAGTTGAGCGATCGTATTCTGAATACGTTCGACAGTGGCGAGCACCTGGTTGGGGTCTTCTTTGACATCAAGGGTGCATACGACATGACTTGGAGGTATGGTATACTACAAAATATGTTCAAATATAATCTACGAGGGAATCTGCCAAAGTTTATACAATCTTTTGTGGAAAATAGGAAATTTGTCGTACGAGTTGGCGACGCTTATTCAAACGAGCACGTTTTAGAGAATGGGGTGCCGCAGGGCTCCACACTTAGCTGTTCCCTGTTTGGCATTGCCATCAACGAGATAGCTCGAGGTGTTGCTGACGAAATCGGAAAATGTTTATACGTCGACGACCTGACGATTTTTTGTGCAGATAAGACCGTCGGTATTATAACACGTAAATTACAAGTGGCGATAAATCAAATATGTAATAATGCCAACGTTGTTGGGTTTGTGTTATCAGAGGAGAAAACGAAGGTTGCACATTTTTGTCGACTTCGCAAACCCCATTATGACCCGGTTTTATTTATGAATGACCGCATAATAAGCGTGGTCCAAGAGGTCAAGTTCCTGGGTCTAACGTTCGATAGAGAGCTACGCTGGTCCGCGCATATACAGAACGTTGCTACTACATGTAGAAAGTCCCTGAATGTCATCCGAGTCTTAGCTCACCACAAGTGGGGAGCGCATCCCAAGACGCTGCTAGACCTATATAAAGGTCTCATACTATCAAGGATCGACTACGGATGTTCTGTGTATTCTACATGTAGTAGTAATACGTTGCTTGGCAAGCTGGACAGAATACAGAATCTTGCCATAAGATACTCCCTTGGAGCCTTTCCGACCAGTCCCGTCGAGTCACTAAACGTTGGGGCAAACATTCTTCCTCTAGCTCTTCGAAGAAAGCAGATCGTGGTAAATTATTACCTCAAAGTGTCGATGGATGGTAATCATCCGAATTACCATCTGCTAAGAAACGTAACCACGCGCGCCCGTCTGTATAGATGTAGGTCCTTAGGAGAAAGAGCTAGAGAGGAGTTTGCATATCTACAACTGGAATATGCCGACATTGTAGACATGACTATAACAGCACGACGTGGGGTTGTGAAAGCGCGTGTGTATGAACGCTGGAATGGACAGTGGGCGGAGTCTGATGCCTTTCTGAAAAGGGTCAAAGCTGAAATAGGGCCTTTGTTTCCTTTAGGCATGGCTCGTCTGGCCTTAACGAGACTATTCAGACTTCGACTCGGTCACAGTGCTCTGACCCACGGATTTCTGTTGGCGGGTGATGATCGGCCACAATGTGACCACTGTGGAGTGGATTTGTCTTTGGAACACATACTATGCGTTTGCCCGGAATATAGGAATGCGCGAGATCTTAACAAAATAAGTGATACTTGGGCGGAAAATCTTAATACCAAGGACAAATGCCTAAATACTCTACGTTTTATTAGTAGCATTGGTTTTAATGATAAACTGTAATATTTATAGTATGTTGACGGTTTGTTTTGTGTGTAATTGAAAGGCAAATGGCCTTAGAAGCCGAGCCTAAGGTGGGGTTTTAGTGGGTATACCTGTTAGGAGAGCCCCACACTACTCCGGAAATTTTCCTTCCGGAGTGTGCTTAAGGAGCATTTCCCCACCTACCAAAAAAAAAAAAAAAAAAATATAAAGAAAATGAAACGAAATTCTAACCTTATACAGTGTGTAACATAGTAGTACGCAAAAATCCATGAATAACAATAAAAGAAAATAATTAAATAAACAGATATACCAAAACATGTAATGCAATCTAAGGGGTAAACAAAAATTATTAACTAATACGTCGAGTAATACGTAATATAACTAACCATTTCGAGTAATGTGGAATGAAATAAGTCAATATTCGGGCAAATTGAATCAAATAATTTACATGCGTTTACAATAGGAGATTTGTATAAAATATTTGTGCGAGGTGAGTAGTTCTAGAGAATGAGACATTGAAACGAGTATTGTATGAAGGAATATGAAAATTAATGGATGACAACAAATAAGGTGCATCCAATTTATTGTGAATAATGTTATGCAGAAAAGATAAACTGATCCATCTGTTTTGGTGGAACCAGCAATTCCGTTGATTTGGACATTATCATTTATTTGTATAAGTTCATCTTTATTTAAGGATTTTGAAAAAATTATGCTAATTGAGGCGCCGCTATCAATTAAAAATATTAAATTTCGGTGACCATAGGAGATTTGTAAATAATTTAAAGCAATGTTACTGGCGTCTACGTGATTTAATTTTTCTTTAGGAACGAAAAAATGTTTCCCTATTTGGCTTATTACTATTTTCAGTTGATTCAGTGCTGAAGGCATTGACTTTTCCGCTATTTCCTGCAGAAGTATTACTTGTGAAATTGGATCTACCATATTGCCGCACAGTATTGAAATTTCTATAATGAGGATTAGGTATTAGCACGCGTGTAATTTTTATGCGTATTCGTCTGATTCTTCGGAGCATTGTACCTTTCGTAATTTGTTCTGTTTTGTGCAAATTGCGATGTTTGATTAGACCACCTATTTTGATAGCGATTTTGACCGAATTTGTTACCTTTCCAATTATTTCTACTAAAATGAAAAACGTTTGAATTTGACGGTTTATTTACCTCCTCATCCTTCGCAACTGTTATTGCATCTTTTAGTTTCGCACAATTTCGAGCTTTGACAATAGTTCGTAACTCGTGATTTCGTAATCCGTTACAATAGTATATTGAATGACAAGTGTTACAATGCGACCTATTGTAATACGACTATCTTGTGGCACGAGTGGCGACGCGATAATGGCGGACTTACCATCGTATCGGGTACAGCCAGCTAAAGCGTTCCTGCATACGTGAGTAGATTATTTCGGGCCTATCAATATTACTTTAGGTAGTAGTCGAGGAACGTCGATGTATAAGGCTTACGTATGTTTATTTGTGTGCATGAGCATAAAGGCTGTACAAATAGAACTGGTAAGTTCCTTATCAACTAATCATTTTTTACAAGCCTTTAAGCGGTTCTTGTCTCGCAGAGGTCCTTGTGGGGTTACCTATTCGGATCAGGGAACCAATTTTATCGGAGCCAAGCGGGTACCTTCGGATCTATACATATTTTTAAATTCTCGGGAGTATACCGATATACTGATGGCGGAATTATCCACCCAGGGCGTTGAATGGAAGTTTAACCCTCCCTCGGCACCGCATATGGGTGGTATATGGGAGAGTCAGGTTAAATCAGCCAAAAGTCATATCTACAGAGTTATCGGTGATCAATTGTTAACATACGAAGAATTCGCTACTTTTTTAACACCGATCGAAGGGTTACTAAATTCTCGGCCTCTGTGTCAATTGTCGGCGGATCCTTTTTCCCCGAGCGCTTTAACACCCGCTCATTTTTTGACCGGGTCACCGTGGGTAATTTACCTGCGGAACCAATTTTAGAGATTCCACTCATAGATTGGATAGCTTCCAAATGATCGATCGTTTAATTCAAGAATTTTGGAAACGATGGCACCTGGAGTACCTTAATACGTTGCAAACTCGGAAAAAGTGGTATAAAGATACCTACCCCTAATATAGAAATTGGAACGGTAGTAGTTTTAAAGGCAGATAATTCACCGCCACTACATTGGCCGTTAGCAATTGTCACGGACGTATTTCCCGGAGATGATGGTACGATCAGAGTTGTTAAAGTTAAAACCACGAAAGGGAGCTTTACGCGACCTGTCATTAAAACCGATTGTCCTTTACCTACACAGTAGATCTTATCAGTTTTGGAATATATAGAGAAAGTAGGGATTTTTTT